ATTCCCGAAGGTCGATCGTATAACGGAATCGTCCAAGTGATCGTATTGTCAAAGCCATCGCCACCAACCGTTAACATGTACGTTGAGATTAATAAGTCATTAAGAAAAAAAAAGAACGGAAAGTAGGAAACAATTACCCTTGAGGTAGAGCGACCATCCAATATGTCAGTCCTAAGAATCGCCAACGAGAGATGACTGTTGGTGGTAAATACATGAGTTAACTCAACTTAATGCCTGAAGCGTAATACTCTCATCCGTAAACTGGTGTTACCAGGGATTGCAGAGGTGTCCCAAGGAATTCACCAAAAATGTTCACCAGTGCTCTCTCGGCTCTAGAATCGTAGGTTCCTTCGTTGGTCCTCGATGTTAAAATTCTTTCTCAGTATCGCCAGTATCGCACAAACAGACCCACTTGTTGCTAAGCCGAGTAAGAGATGACCTGACTTGTGAGTACAAAGAAAAATTCATCCTCGTTAAGCAACTCGTTTACGGGTTTAAATCAAGCCTACATATGAGTCTGGTTAATAACATCTAGAAGACCGCCTAAAAACCGAAAAGGAAAACGTCTTTGAAGGTTTGAGTGAAATCAAGTGTGTCCAAATTGATGCTGGTGCTACACCGATCTCCCACATTCCACCCCCAGCAGGTCACCAGCTGGCCTTAAAAGCTCTCTCAGCCCTTTAACTCCCAAGATCCAATCGTTAATTCACCTTACTAACTGCTATACATATCCTTGTTTCTTATACAGGAGAATTGCAAGCCGAGAAAGAGATGACCTGACTTGTGAGTACAAAGAAAAATTCATTCATTAAGCAATTCGTTTACGGGTTTAAATCAAGCCTACGTATAAGTCTGGTTAAAAACATCTAGAAGACCGCCTAAAACACCAAAGAGGAAAATGTCTTTGAAGGTTTGAGTGAAATCAAGTGTGTCCAATATAAAATTCGCTTTGATTCCGAAGCAACACCGATCTTCCGCAGGTTCCCAGCTGCCCTTGTAAGCTCTCTTGGCCCTTTAACTCCCTTTAACTCCCAAGATCCAATCGTTAAATCTCCTTACTAACTGCCATACATATCCTTGTTTCTTATGCAAGAGAATTGATTCCAAATCACGATAACACAATCTAACCAATAATAACATATTAGGATCGCAGGGAGGAGTTATCTGTTCATATCTTCAAAGTGCTTAAGGATATAAGAGGAATTTTCAACTTCGTAACAGACCTCGCCGCGCCTCGCCGCGCCTCGCCACCCTGGAGTCTCTGTGGCTCAGTGGTAGAGCATCTGAGCGCGGAATCCGAAGGTCTGAGGTTCGATTCCTCGTGAAGACTCAGAACTTTTTCTTTGTCTCACACTCGTGACAAGACGAAAAAGACATCATTCTCGATATAGGAGGACTTTCAAAAAGCAGGCCCTCACCATTAGCGCAGCGGGATACGCATTTATCCGCCCGCGGGAAGATTTGAGACAGTCGAGGATAGATTTGCCGAGATTTGTCTAACACTTATGCTATCAATGCTCAGCCCCTTACAGACCTCTCACCGGCTCTCGTCGCTCCAGGCCTCCTAAATTCCTGTAGGCTAAGAATCGCGCGTGCCGAAGCGCTTATATTGAGGGCCTGGAGCTGAGCTCTATGTATACTTGACGTTGTTGAGACCTGTCAATGAGCCCGGAAAACAGAAAAGAACTTTCATGACTGACTGCCTTCTTCCTCAAGCAATACATGTTCAAGTTTTTTTGCACTGCTATCTTATATCAAAAGTTGAATACGACCTAAAAGAATAAAGCCAATCAGAGTTAGTGGAGTCCTTCTGCTAACTCTGATGGAAGTTAATTATAAGTTATGGAATTTTTTGTTGTTTATGCCCAGAGGAGTATTATATATAAAATAGCTTTGTTCAATGATAAGTTTTAAGAAAGAATAAACTGGTCATCTCATTTACAGCTCTTTTAACGCATCCTGTCTAATCAGGTGTAATCATGTGAGTTTGGTGGTTTAGTTGAAAAAAAGTTGATGTCTGAGTTTCCACCAGCTCAGCACAAAAGGGCCACAGGCCAAAAGAAACGGTAAGCCTGGGGACAAGAATGACTGCGAAAGTGACAGAAAGAAGCATAAGATCACGTTCTATTGGCATTTTCCGTGAGTGACAGCTGACATGTGTTAGGAAAAAACTGAACAGAGTAGCGGAGGTGGTTAACTGTATTTTTTATGGCGAGGCATTGAAGTCTACAGGTTTTGGTAAGTACTGGTTGTATTCAAAAAATGATACAGTTTAACTTTTTTGCCACTGTCAGTGCCTTTACGTAGCTTACATACACCATTTTTGTTTGGAGCTTCAGTGTTCTATCATGCTATATTCAATGTTATGATCTATGTCTTCGATAAAAACTGAGAGTTAATGTCTATCAAATAGAAAGACAATCACAAATAGCGAGGTCGAATTAAAAATTATAAATACCATTTTGAATATTGAAATTTTCTGCGAACGACTGAATCTCATATCACCAGCGCTGGTAAAATAGATTTTTGTAGAGATATATTCTGATCCAACCTCTTCAAAGTTTTTGCCACACGTCGTACTGTCGAGCTAATCTTGAGAAGGACGGAATAGAGTATTAAGGACGGATAAATTAAATTTGTATATTTTTTCGTTCTCCAGAATGAAGATAGTGGATGATGTTCCCTCTTTTTTTCATGTATTTCGGTTTTTTATAACTAACTTATATAACTAATGATGGATTTGAGCATGCAAAAGTGAAACAATTTATTCTGTTTTACAGGGAACGTCAGCCTTTAGTGTTCATTTGTTTTGACCGCTTGAATTTTCATTACAAGATTGATCAAAGTACAAGTGAACCATCAGCCTTAGAAAGGTAAGCCATCTCCGCGTTGTTCCACTGTTCAAGACTTTTTATTTTCTAGTGGGTGTGATTTGCATGATCAAGATACTGAATAATTTACTAGATAAGGAAAACGGATGAAGTTAAGCGTGCGCGCGAGTTTCTCTAAGATGATCACTTTACTAAGAGTTACCCTTTTAAGCATTAATCTAGATAAGACTTAGATAAAGTAACGAGTAGGTGACATTAGAGTTAGGATCTACATAGATCGAAACTCTCTAAAAAATATACAACAATTGATAACATTTTGGGGAGGGGAGGGAGGGGGCATGAACCTGGACCATACTTATGAAGCGGGATCCTTGAAGCTAATCTCCTGAAAAGTCTCATCAGTCATCCCTGCTACTCTCGCATTTTTATTTCCGCTTCGCTTTGGCTATGAAAATAGCAATTTGAGAACACTACAATGCGCCATGAAAGCGATGTTGATGATAATTTGATGTCTAGAACACCTAAAAACTTGGGCCAACTTCGAACAGGATTTTCATGTCAGAAAAATGGAAGTCGAATCATGAATAAATTCATCTACTTTTTTCCTAATTCATAAGTGGAAAATACAGAAAGACGCTGAGCAATTTACCCCGAATATTAATTGTTCCCCTAAAATTACTTGTGTTTCGGTTTTGAATTTTATAAACAATGATGCATTTGAGCATGCAAAAAGGAAAAAAAATTGCACTTGTTCAGTACAGGGATCGTAAGCTCTTAAGTGTTCATTGCTTTTAAACGGTTGGATTTTCATCACGAGATCGATCACAGTTCAATTAAATAGTGTATTTTACAGTGTTTGGGTGTGAGGATCGACTCTTTACTGGTGAACTTTTCATTTTCTAATGAGTGTGATTTGCATCATCAATAACAAAGACCAACAAAGACACTATGTAAATTACTATATAAGCAAAACGGATGAAGTTAATAGTGTGAGTTCCTCTGAAACGATTATTTTACCTAATGTTATCCTTGAAAGTGTTTATCCTGGTGGAAGAAAAAGAAAATTTCAGCACACTTCTCCAAACTTCAAGTTCTCCGGTTTAGGTATTTGTATTTCGGTTTTGTTAGTCTAACTTTGATAAACGTTGATGGATATAAGCATGCAAAATGAAATAATGTACTTTGTTTTACAGGAAACGTCAGCCCCTAGTGTTCATTGCGTTTTAACGGTTGGATGTTCATCACAAGATCGATCACAGCACAATTGAAGTTTCTGTCTTTAAATGGTATGGTATTTATAAGTTATGACTGACTGAATGTTTTACAATCATAAAATGTGGGGCAGGAAATGCAACTGATTGACCCCTTGGACGCCCCCCCCCCCCCCCCATTATCTACCGCTTGTAGTTCCAATTTGTGGTGATTTGAAGGAAACTGAAAACTGTGAACAAGAGTATGTGACAAAGGTTTTTTCATTTTTCCGGGGAAAATTTCATTCAGGTACCCTCGCTCGTATCAAAATGAACGCGAAACATATCTAGCTTCAAACAATAAGTTTAAATATTTGTGTGACATCGTAATAAGCATCTCAATGATGTGCGTGACAGTGTTATGAACACCTCGCCTGTGGAACAACAGTAATAAATTTCCTCGGTGTGTTTCTTTGTAGAAACACTCACAAAAAAACACAAAATTGGATTTATTACGTAAGATCACGAGGATTCCTGATGAAATGAAAAGAGTCGAAGAAGAATCCAATTAGATCTGTAACTACACATCGAGTGATTTAACAAAATTTGACAAATACCGAAGTGGAAACTAAACAGGTTAAGATAAGGAACCCTATGTACCAAATGTTATAGGCTATCTATGGAGTAACAAAAAAAACTTGGTATCAACCTACTTCATTCCAGCAAAACGTTCTAACACGAATGGCGCAATCATTAAATAAAAATTAGATTTTTGTGAGGTGAAGCAGAAAGTGCAATCACACTCATACTGGTTCCAGTCTCGTAAACGCTTCATTTCAATACAGGGTAGGACCTCCGTCGGGATGAGAAAACCACGATTCCTGAAAAAGTTCGCACCCATGAACCCTTGTACAGAAACTTTCGAGTGTCATATGCTTGATCTACTTTTTTTTTCCAAACCTACAGTGATCAAAGCCATATGAAAGACACAGAAGAGGAATTTACCACGTTAGCTATCAAAATAGGTGTAACTGTCGCCATTTTCCTTCTCAACACTGGTTTGGCCTTGAAAGCCATCGAGTTGTGTCAAGAAAGTTTGATTTTATTAAACAACGGTGATTTAAGCGCGGACAGTCCAGTTGCCAAATCATTTGACGAACGCATCCGCACCAGAGTGAAAAGGGCGTGGCTCACTCTTTGCAATTCACCAGGTATTGAAGAATACCTCGAGAAACTTTTACTTCACCCTGAAGAGGAAAAGAAATTTTGTGAATTAGCAATAAATGTCATGAAAATGACCGGAAACAGACAAAAAGAAGCAGAGTGTTATAGAAGACTAGGAGTGCTTCTGTGTTCCTTAAGAGAATATAACAAAGGGAAAGAATATTTGAAGATGGCACTCGCTATCCAAATAAAAATTGGCGACAGAAATGGAGAAGCAACAAGCTACGCGAGAATTGGAATACTGTTCATGTCGCTTGGCAAATATGACACGGCCCGAGAATACCTGGAGAAAGCTCTCGCTATCCAAATAGAAATTGGCGACAGAAGTGGAGAGGCAACAATCTATGGGAGCCTCGGAACACTGTTCCAGTCGCTTGGCAAATACGACAAGGCCCGAGAATACCTGGAGAAAGCTCTCGCTATCCAAATAGAAAATGGCGACAGACATGGAGAGGCAGCAATCTATGGGAACCTCGGAATAGTGTTCCAACGGCTTGGCAAATACGACAAGGCCCGAGAATCCCTGGAGAAAGCTCTCGCTATCCAAATAGAAAATGGCGACAGACATGGAGAGGCAACAAGCTACACGAACCTCGGAATAGTGTTGATATTGCTTGGCAAATACGACAAGGCCCAACAATACCTGGAGAAAGCTCTCGCTATCCAAATAGAAATTGGCGACAGAAATGGAGAGGCAACAAACTACACGAACCTCGGAACAGTGTTCCAGTCGCTTGACAAATACGACAAGGCCCGAGAATACCTGGAGAAAGCTCTCGCTATCCAAATAGAAATTGGCGACAGAAATGGAGAGGCAACAAGCTACACGAACCTCGGAACAGTGTTCCAGTCGCTTGACAAATACGACAAGGCCCGAGAATACCTGGAGAAAGCTCTCGCTATCCAAATAGAAAATGGCGACAGACATGGAGAGGCAACAAGCTACACGAACCTCGCAACCCTGTTCCAGTCGCTTGGCAAATACGACAAGGCCCGAGAATACCTGGAGAAAGCTCTCGCTATCCAAATAGAAATTGGCGACAGTCATGGAGAGGCAAAAAGCTACGGGGGCCTCGGAACAGTCTTCCAATCACTTGGCAAATACGAAAAGGCCCGAGAATACCTGGAGAAAGCTCTCGCTATCCAAATAGAAATTGGCCACAGAAATGGAGAGGCAAAAAGCTACGCAAACATTGGAATACTGTTCATGTCGCTTTACAAATATGACAAGGCCCGAGAATACCTGGAGAAAGCTCTCTCTATCAAAATAGAAAATGGCGACAGAAATGGAGAGGCAACAAGCTACACGAACCTCGGAACAGTGTTCATATCGCTTGGCAAATACGACAAGGCCCGAGAATACCTGGAGAAAGCTCTCGCTATCAAAATAGAAATTGGCGACAGAAATGGAGAGGCAACAGGCTACACGAACCTCGGAACACTGTTGGAATCGCTTGGCAAATACGACAAGGCCCGAGAATACCTGGAGAAAGCTCTCGCTATCAAAATAGAAAATGGCGACAGACATGGCGAGGCAACAATCTATGGGAGCCTCGGAAAAGTGTTCCAGTCGCTTAGCAAATACGACAAGGCCCGAGAATACCTAGAAAAAGCTCTCGCTATTCAAATAGAAACTGGTGACAGAAATGGAGAGGCAGCAAGCTACGGGGGCCTCGGAACAGTCTTCCAATCGCTTGGCAAATACGACAAGGCCCGAGAATACCTGGAGAAAGCTCTCGCTATCCAAATAGAAATTGGCGACAGAAATGGAGAGGCAGGAAGCTACGGGGGCCTCGGAACAGTGTTTATATCACTTGGCAAATATGACCAGGCCCGAGAATACCTGGAGAAAGCTCTCGCTATCCGAATAGAAACTGGCGACAGAAATGGAGAGGCCAGAAGCTACGTGAACCTCGGAACACTGTTCGAATCGCTTGGCAAATATGACAAGGCCCGAGAATACCTGGAGAAAGCTCTCGCTATCCAAATAGAAATTGGCGACAGAAATGGAGAGGCAACAAGCTACGGGGGCCTCGGAACAGTCTTCCAATCGCTTGGCAAATACGACAAGGCCCGAGAATACCTGGAGAAAGCTCTCGCTATCAAAATAGAAACTGGCGACAGACATGGCAAGGCAACAATCTATGGGAGCCTCGAAAAAGTGTTCCAGTCGCTTAGCAAATACGACAAGGCCCGAGAATACCTAGAGAGAGCTCTCGCTATTCAAATAGAAACTGGCGACAGAAATGGAGAGGCAGCAAGCTACGGGGGCCTCGGAACAGTCTTCCAATCGCTTGGCAAATACGACAAGGCCCGAGAATATCTGGAGAAAGCTCTCGCTATCCAAATAAAAATTGGCGACAGAAATGGAGAGGCAGAAAGCTACGGGAGCCTCGGAACAGTGTTTATATCGCTTGGCAAATATGACCAGGCCCGAGAATACCTGGAGAAAGCTCTCGCTATCCGAATAGAAACTGGCGACAGAAATGGAGAGGCCAGAAGCTACGTGAACCTTGGAGCACTGTTCTTATTGCTTAGCAAATACGACAAGGCCCGAGAATACCTGGAGAAAGCTCTCGCTATCCGAATAGAAACTGGCGACAGAAATGGAGAGGCCAGAAGCTACGTGAACCTCGGAGCACTGTTCGCATTGCTTAGCAAATACGACAAGGCCCGAGAATACCTGGAGAAAGCTCTCGCTATCCAAATAGAAATTGGCGACAGAAATGGAGAGGCAAAAAGCTACGGGGGCTTCGGAACAGTCTTCCAATCGCTTGGCAAATACGACAAGGCCCGAGAATACCTGGAGAAAGCTCTCGCTATCAAAATAGAAATTGGTGACAGAAATGGAGAGGCAATAATCTACAGGAACCTCGGAACAGTCTTCCAATCGCTTGGCAAATACGACGAGGCCCGACAATACCTGGAGAAAGCTCTCGCTATCAAAATAGAAATTGGTGACAGAAATGGAGAGGCAACAAGCTACGAAAACCTCGGAACAGAGTTCATACTGCTTGGCAAATGTGACAAGGCCCGAGAATACCTGGAGAAAGCTCTCGCTATCCAAATAGAAATTGGCGACAGAAATGGAGAGGCAGCAAGCTACCGGGGCCTCAGAACAGTCTTCCAATCGCTTGGCAAATACGACAAGGCCCGAGAATACCTGGAGAAAGCTCTCGCTATCCAAATAGAAATTGGCGACAGAAATGGAGAGGCAGCAAGCTACCGGGGCCTCAGAACAGTCTTCCAATCGCTTGGCAAATACGACAAGGCCCGAGAATACCTGGAGAAAGCTCTCGCTGTCCAAATAGAAATTGGCGACAGAAATGGAGAGGCAGCAAGCTACGGGGGCCTCGGAACAGTCTTCCAATCGCTTGGCAAATACGACAAGGCCCGAGAATACCTGGAGAAAGCTCTCGCTATCCAAATAGAAATTGGTGACAGAAATGGAGAGGCAACAATCTACAGGAACCTCGGAACAGTCTTCCAATCGCTTGGCAAATACGACGAGGCCCGAAAATACCTGGAGAAAGCTCTCGCTATTCAAATAGAAACTGGCGACAGAAATGGAGAGGCAGCAAGCTACGGGGGCCTCGGAAGAGTCTTCCAATCGCTTGGCAAATCCGACAAGGCCCGAGAATACCTGGAGAAAGCTCTCGCTATCCAAATAGAAATTGGCAACAGAAGTGGAGAAGCAACAATCCACGGGGGCCTCGGACCACTGTTCGCATTGCTTAGGAAATACGACAAGGCCCGAGAATACCTGGAGAAAGCTCTCGCCATCAAAATAGAAATTGGCGACATAAATGGAGAGGCCAGAAGCTACATGAACCTTGGAGCACTGTTCGCATTGCTTAGCAAATACGACAAGGTCCGAGAATACCTGGAGAAAGCTCTCGCTATCCAAATAGAAATTGGCAACAGAAGTGGAGAAGCAACAATCCACGGGGGCCTCGGACCACTGTTCATATCGCTTGGCAAATATGACAAGGCCCAAGAATACTTGGAGAAAGCTCTCGCTATCCAAATAGAAACTGGCGACATAAATGGAGAGGCCAGAAGCTACATGAACCTTGGAGCACTGTTCGCATTGCTTAGCAAATACGACAAGGTCCGAGAATACCTGGAGAAAGCTCTCGCTATCAAAATAGAAACTGGCGACAGAAAGGGAGAGGCAGCAATCTATGGGAGCTTCGGAATACTGTTCCAGTTGCTTGGCAAATACGACAAGGCCCGAGATTACCTGGAGAAAGCTCTCGCTATCCAAATAGAAATTGGCGACAGAAATGGAGAGGCAACAAGCTACACGAACCTCGGAACACTGTTGGAATCGCTTGGAAAATACGACGAGGCCCGAGAATACCTGGAGAAAGCTCTCACTATCAAAATAAAAACTGGCGAAAGACATGGCGAGGCAACAATCTATGGGAACCTCGGAAAAGTGTTCCGACGGCTTGGCAAATACGATAAGGCCCGAGAATCCCTGGAGAAAGCTCTCGCTATCCAAATAGAAAATGGCGACAGTCATGGAGAGGCAATAAGCTACTCGAGCCTCGGAGCACTGTTGACATCGCTTGGTAATTATGACAGGGCCCGAGAATACTTGGAGAAAGCCCTACATATTTTCAGGAGAATTGGCAATAGAGAAGGAGAGGTAGGCACTTTAGGAAACCTTGCATCTTTGTTTCTGTACCTCGGTAAATATTTGAAGGCTAACGATATTTCGGAGAGGTTGAACGCGATTTCGAGGGAAATCGACTTAAAAGAAGGACAAGCAGGGCATTTCGAATGCCTTGGGATAATTTCTCATAAGCGTGGTGAGTACGACAATGCTCTAGAATATTACAAGAAAGCCCTTGAAATTTACATGGATATTGGCATAAAAGAAGGTGTTGCTGTCAGTTACGCAGATATAGCATTGTGTTTCCGATCGCTCGGTAAATATGACATGGCCGAGGAATACCTTAAGAAGGCTCTCCTACTAAGCAGGGATATTGGAGACACCTTACTTGAGTTTAAATGCCTTCTTGGTCTAACGGTGTTGAAGGTATCACAATTTGATCTTAAAGAAGCCTTTTCGTTTCTTTTCCAAAGCATTGAAATGTTTGACACTTTGCGAGGATCTCTTAAAGACAACGATGAGTTTAAAACATCACTTTTGGAGAGGCACGGCGTCTTTCCCTACGAGTTACTCAGTTGTTTGCTTTCTTCCGAGGCAAAGCCACAAGACGCCCTCTATGTCGAGGAGCTGAGACGGGCGAGGGGCTTAGCCGACTTGATGGCAGCTAGGTACTCTGTTGTAGAGCAGATCTCAGGCGATCCAAAATCATGGTATGGGATTCAAAATATTGTCGCAAAGGAAACTGACTGTGCATGCCTCTACATTTCTGTTGGAGAAAAGTATATGCGCTACTGGATTCTCAAAGCAACAGGGGCTGTTCTCTTTTCAGATGAGGAAGTGAGCCTGGACAAAAACGTGGTGACCGGATTAGTCCCTCCCTTGGATGAGTTTTTTACGGAAAGCTTTCGTGGCCTTGGCATTTTACCCCAACAGAATTGCGAAGATCGATCTCTAGATGACACTGAATCGGTGTCACTTGACCATGAAAATCACCCGCTCTGGCGCGATTGTGATGACAAAGGTATCAAGACAAATCTTCACTTGTGCTACAAGATAATCATCGCTCCTGTGGCTGCTTTACTGAAGGAGCCCGAAATTATCATTGTCCCTGATTCCTGTATGTACCAGGTACCATTTGCGGCTTTAACTGACGATGGAGGAAACTTTGTATCAGAGACATTCAGGTTACGCATCGTTCCCTCTTTGACGACTCTCAAGCATATTCAGGACAGTCCCCCACATTATCACAGTCAAACAGGTGCACTGATAGTGGGTGACCCTCGGGTTGGAGAGGTGATTTACAAGGGAAGACGCATGAATATAACACGATTGCCATGTGCAAGAAAGGAAGCAGAGATGATTGGAAGACTTCTTGGTGTGACACCTTTGATTGGAGATCGCGCGACAAAGCAGGCTGTACTTCAAGCAATACATTCAGTTAGTCTGATCCATCTAGCTGCTCATGGTGATGCTGAAAGAGGAGAGATTGTCCTTTCCCCAGAGTGTCCCGCTGACTATGTTCCACGAGAAGACGCCTACCTCTTGACTATGGCGGACATTTCACGAATTAAGCTGCAAGCTAAACTGGTTGTGCTTAGCTGCTGTCACAGTGCACGTGGACAGATTAAAGCCGAGGGAGTTATTGGAATCGCTCGAGCGTTCTTAGGATCCGGTGCTCGCTCAGTGTTAGCGGCACGGTGGGCTTTAGATGACACAGCCACAGAGAAGTTCATGACTTGTTTCTACGAGCACTTGTTCCGCGGTGAAAGCGCCAGTGAATCTCTTCACGAGGCCAGGAAATGGATGAGAAACAATGGCTTTGTGGAAGTCTCCAAGTGGGCTTCTTTTATGCTGATTGGCGACAACGTGACATTTGATTTTGCAAATTGGCCTGTGTCTACTTCAACCAAATAGCCATGAGTCATGTAAACCCGCTGTGACGAAATGTGCTGGACGGAATAAAGTTAGAAACTGTTAATTGCCACCGTGCAGAGAGAGAAAACCATCTGAAAAGACGTCTGCAAGTTAAATTTGAGGCACTCAAGCAAAACTTTCCTGTAAAGAACGCAGCAGGGACACGAAAATTCATAAAGTAGAGATGATGAACTTTTAGCAGTTACTGAACAAACGCAAGAGCATTCCCTTTTCGAAAGCGAATGGTTCAATAATCAAGCCAAGCACATTGTAGCTAATTTTTTTCGAAAGCGGTTAATACATTGAGCAAAGCAAATTTTAAGTAATATACTTAAAGTGATACGTCATGTAGCTTTAGCAAGTATGGAGTAATTGTTTTTATAAGGGGCTCTGTATCATATAAAATGTGCAGAGTTTTTTTCAAGGTTAAGCAGTATACTCGAACTTAGTTGTCATGATTCTGTCAGGAAATCATTTGTCATCTTAAGCAGGATGATAAAACGTTAGGGTTAGATTTTCAAAGGTTTTCAAAATCTTTTCGGTTTCATTTGTTTGTTTTTTTTTGCGAGAAATTATAAGTCGTCATATGTGAAGTACTTTTAGAAAGTGATCTCCATACGCAATGTATATATCAACTTTGGGGTAACGCTAATTTTTTTGAAATTAGCATTTTCTTATTTTTACTGACGATAAAGATTTTAATAGCTGGTCTTACGAGCAGTCTACAGGTGTCTAGTTTAGGATTCTAGATTGATTTTGATGATGGCCCTCAAGTTAAAAATACCTCTTCGAATTTATGGGTAAGGTCAAGTTTCTCTTAATTTTGTAGGAAAAAATCGAAAAAACAAGATTAGGAGTTAACAACATTGATCTGAGCACGGTTACCAGTACCATTTTCGTACAAACATTTATACCGGACTTCGTTAGATTTCAGGTATTGTATTCAATTTGCAAAAACTTGTTACCTAGACCATATATTTTACTACAATCATTAAGATGTTCAGATTAACACTGTTGTGAGTAAAAAGCACTTAATTCTTCGTCATTACGACATACCGAATGATGGGCAGTTGCTTTTTTCTTCATCCAGATATATACTTCGATTCTGACACCGGTAGTCCATCTCTGATTGTTGGATTTGATATGTTGGACTTGCTTGAACGGAAATAGTAAAATACGCCTTCAAATTATGGCTGTCTTAACGAGCGGAAGAGATTTAGCGAATCCTGTGTTCTGATCGGCTACCAGAGCATGCTAGTCGCTGGATCGCTGACCAACATGAATTCATCTAAACTGCTGCTCACTTATACTATTTCATGGCAGGTGAAGGCACAAAGTTACTAAGTGAAGGTGAAAGAAATGAAACATGATATGGAAGTTCTGTTAAGAGAGAATTGAAAGTAGAGTCATATAAAGTGATATAATTACTCGGGGCTTTCAAAACGAAATGCCGAATGGCATCCTCAGCCGCCGTTTTCGGCGGCTGAGGATGCCATTCGGCATAAGTTCTGCGCCTGAGATATGGCAGCGGAAGATGCATGAAGCAATTGAGCGATGATTTCCTGGTTTAGGGATTTGGAGACACAGTAGATGAAGCAGTGAAGGATCATGACCAAAATTAAACCGCTTTCCTACAAAGATGCCGTGATTTGAATCTGACACTTAATCTTTAGAAGATTAAGGTTTGCCTATCACAAGTACCATTCATGGGCCACTTACTCACAGCAGATGGTGCTGTGACTGACCCAAACAAAGTTCGTGCCATGCCGTATGTGACATGCCTACTCCAACAGATGTCAAATCCTTTAAAAGATTTCTTTGGATGGTTACTTACCTAGCAAAGTTCTTACCACACCTGTCCAGTGTCTGCGAACCGCTAAGGCGACTGGAGCTTAAGGATGCTGAATAGAGTTGGCTGCCCGTTCACGATGAAGTAGTCCAAAGTATTAAGATTCTTGTTTGTGAAGCTCCAGTGGTGAAGTTTCATGATGTTAATCGGAAAGTCGCAATTGAAAGTGACGCGTCTCTCAGTGGATTTGGCGCCTCCTTACTCCAGGAGGGTCAGCCCGTTGCATTCGCCTCAAGAGCTCTCACTCCAGCGGAAGGTTGCTACGTTCAGATTGAGAAGGAACTTCTCTCTGTTGTTTTTGCCTGTGAGAGGTTCAATTCGTACATGTATGGTCGAGATGTGGTGCATGTTAAGACAGATCACCAGCCCCTTAAAGCGATCTTTAAAAAGGACCTCGGCTCTACTCCCAAGCGTCTCCAGAGGATATTGTTGTGCTTACAGCGTTACAACCTTGACGTAAAATACCAAAAAGGAAGGTTGATGGTTATGCCTGATCCCTTGTCCCGAGCCTCGACGAAACTCTCGCACAGACCGAGTTTTGCAATGAGCTCAAGGAGATAGTGCTTGTGGAGGATCTCCCCATTTCAGAAGCACGACCGAAGGAATTCAAGGAAGGGACTGCCTTGCATGACAACCTTTAGATCCTTATGCCCGCTGTCCTAGAAGGTTGGCCTAGCATTCTGGATAAAGTTCCGGCTGAGGTCAAGCCATACTGTGACTTTCAGTTTCAAGATGAAATCACAGCCCAAAATGGTTTGCTGTTTAAGAGTGAGTGCCTCATTGTACTAGCCAAGTTAAGGAAAGAAATGATGGAAAAGGTCCATCTTGGTATTGAGGGCTGCCTTCGACGAGCCAGAGAAGTGTTTTACAAGCCGTGCATGAATGCTGAGCTTAAAGATTTCATTCTCAAATGTGATATCTGTAGTTCGTATAAGCAAGCTCTGCATCGAGAACTACTAATGCCCCATGAAATCCCATCAAGGCCTTGGAAAAAGGTCGGTGCAGATTTGTTCCCGTTTGACCAGCGCCACTACCTGATTACTGTGGATTGTTACTCTTCTTTCTTTGAGGTGGACACGACAGCTTCCAGAACTGTTATTGAGAAATTGAAAATGCAGTTTAGCCGCCATGGTATCCCGGAGATAGTTATTTCTGACAATGGACCACAATGTACTTCTGCAGAGTTTGCAAAGTTTCCAGGTGACTGGCTCTTTCAACATATTACTACCTCTCCTCGAAATCCGCGAAGTAACGGAAAGGTTAAAGGTGCTGTGAAAATCAGGCAGCGCATGGAAAGTTTGACCCATATCTTGCCTACTTGACTATTGTAACACGCCTACGGAATTTGGCTCATCCCCAGCGTAAAGGCTGTTCAGCCGGAGAACACGCAATTTGTTACCCCTGTCAAGATGCAAGATAAGCTGATTAACTCTAAGCAAAATCAGGCTTTCTACTGCAACCTGAAAGGCAAAGCACAACCTGAGTTGCAACCTGGACAAACTGTCAGGATGAAGAGGCCCAACGAATCTACGTGGACGGAAGCTGTTTGCAAGAAAATGACTGGCCCACGTTTCTATGCGGTTGTATCGGGTGGTCGAACCTACCGACGAAATCACCGACAGCTGCGAATGGTGCCACTATCTGATTCTCCGCCTGTTGCGAAATAAGCAGCTGAGCCTTTGCGATCACTGCCCCTGTTAGATTTCCACCCAGTTGCAAAAACAGCAACTGAGCCCTTGCAATTAGCACTTCAAGCAGACCCCCTACCTATTGTGAAAACTGCTGCTGAACACGTAGAACTTGCGCTCCTTCATACTGTCACAAAGAGTGGTCGTATTTGTCAAACGACCAGCACGTTTTAGTGAGTTTGCGATTTTGACTCAGTGCTTTTCGGAAGCTTTATTTTTTAAACACTGTTGTTGTTGTTTTTGTTGTTGTTTGCTGGTTTTTTTTTTCACGAAGGAACTCAGTCGCAGTTTGCAAGAACTCAGTTAAGACACCCCTTCTTTCAAAGGGGAAGATGTTGTGATACTGCATAAATTAGCATATATTTCTGTATCACGTGACTTATTATTCTGTAATTAGACCTTGTGGTGTTTCAATCAGCCGCCATTAAAATAGTTGAGTTGTGTTTACGCTCGGTGTCCTTACGTTGATCATTACACTTATGAGAGATCTCTTTATGAACGAACATTTATTAGTAAACCATTTAGAGAGAAACATGCTCTACCAACTGAGCTATCTAATGTTAATCTAGAGAAGCATAAACGCAAATCTCATCGTGTAAGCAGACGTGATCGTGAACCAAGCAGAATACCAATACGAAGTTTGAAAAGATTAAGGAAAGGCTAGAGAATTTGTCGTTGTGCGTATTCTTTCATGTATACCCATGTCATCTACATTGTACTATAATGTAAATACTAAAAAAAGCTATTACGAATTCCTCAAAGTATAGGAATGATAAATATCGTGCCAGTCGATATTCAACGATGTTTTCTTGTAACAAACTGATGCGTTCTTGCAAGAGTGAGGCTCATGTAGCAAATTATTGCAACCATAAATTAAGTAGAGACATGGAAAAAAAATCCTAGTCCTCCAATATATATTGACCCTAACAAGACAATAGCAGCTCCATAGAGTCAAGGTAACGAGTTAGTTTTTGGACAGAATGCAGGAAAACAATGTGTTGCAATGAGTTTGCGCTCTTTGATTTTTAATAACACACAAGGGATCAGCTCTGCAAGTGATCTTAAACAAAGAATGAATGTTAGAAATCAATTTATTCAAGTTTGTCACGATTAGTCAGACAGGCGCTCTTAATGCAGTCAGAATTACCAGCAGCATTAAATGTGTTTGATACCGATTATCAACTGGAATACAGTGAGAGCTACTCCGGTACTGTTCATCAAGAAACTACCATAGAGGGATATCAGTTCTGTATCTCTTTACAAAGAGCCTTTTGAATCGCTCATATCTGAAACCTACACCAATATTATATTAACTATATTAACAGAAGGGTGTATTGCTGTTGCAATCTATTGTAATGGTAATATGGGGGTTCAAAGTATTTTACTCTCATGCTAGAGATTTGTATGGTAGGGGGCAGCATGACAAGGTACACAAGTTATTCTGGAAGTACTTTTCCTTAATAGTCTATTGCATTATTTCCAGAGTATATTAGTTAAAGTGATGAATCAAGTGCTTCGACAACTCATCTTTCACGTTAAGTTTGTTATAGTGGTCAGTTTTTATAAGATATTAATATGATGCAGAAAATAATTTGAACTTTGACAAACTACTGATTCCTTAAAAATAAATTTCATGAGAACCACTCTAACAACCCCATAAATTAATCGTTCATCTGCTAATAAGCTTCAGTAGAGACTCCTTGTTTTCTTTTGGTGATAAGAAAAATAAGCAATTGGTTTTCTTGCATGGGTTGAGTGTCATCAACTTAGCACTTGGGGCTGTGTATGATTAAAAATTATCTCAGCCTGGAATCTTTTGTTAACCAAGAAAAAGAAAACAGAAGACAGCCCATTTGGCAAATGACTCACCCTGCTACAACCTCACAACCTGCCAAACGGAATTTAATAAAGTCAAAACCAAACGAAAAAAATGGAAATTGTGTCTAGTAATAAGTATGGAAATAATAGCCAATAATAGCCAATAATATATGACACTACCTCCCCCCACCCCACCCCAGGAAATGGTCTTCACACTACATAATAAATTCTGTTTTCAGCTCTCTGTTTACACATGTGAGAAACCTGCATCTCTTGCATACCAAGACAGAAAACACTTACAGGATAAACCGATGATTGCATAAAAAAACTTACTAAGACAAATGCAGGCACAGAAAACAAAGTTTCTTTCTAACAGAGAGCTCGAGTGAACGCAAATATGTACAAGGAAAACAGGCCTCTCAGGATAGCACAATAATCAAGTATTTGCATGCAAATCCAGCTTAATCTGTCGCTGCATTCTGAGCGCCATTATTGCCGCCTACCAACCTGCCATCCGAGATGTTTTTGTCCGAGAACTGGTCGTTACAGTCCGAATGCATCTGATTATTCACGAAGGTCGATCGTATAGCGGAATCGTCCAAGTGATCGTATTTCAAAGCCATCACGAGATAAACCGCGAGCAACCGTTAACATGTACGTTGAGATTAATAAGTCATTAAGAAAAAAAAAAGAACTTATTATGATACCTTAAATTACCCTTGAGGTAGAGCGACCATCCAATATGTCAGTTCTAAAAATCGCCAACGAGAGATGGCTGTTGGTAGTAAATACACAAGTTAACTTAACTTAATGCCTGGAACGTGATACACTCATCCTTAAACTGGTGTTAGCAGGGTTTGCAGAGGTGTCCCGAGGAATTCACCAAAAACTGTTCACCAATACTCTCTCGGCTCTAGAATCGTAGGTTCCTTTCGTTGGTCCTTGATGTTAAAATTCTTTCTCGGTATCCCCAGTATCGCACAAACAGACCCACTTGTTGCAAAGCCGAGTAACAGATGACCTGGCTTTCGAGTACAAAGAAAAAAAACATCCTCATTGAGCAATTTATTCACGGGTTCAAATCCAGCCAACATATAAGCCTGGTTAAGAACATCTAGAAGACCGCCTAAAACACCGAAGAGGAAAATGTCTTTGAAGGTTTGAGTGAAATCAAGTGTGTCCAATATAAAATTCGCTTTGATTCCGAAGCAACACCGATCTTCCACATTCCACCCCCAGCAGGTTCCCAGCTGCCCTAGTAAGCTCTCTTAGCCCTTTAACTCCGAAGATCCAATCATTAATTCTCCTTACTAACTGCCATACACATCCTTGTTTCTTATGCAAGAGAATTGATTCCAAATCACGATAACACAATCTAACCGATAATAAAATATTAGGTATCTGTTCATATCTTCAAAGTGCTTAAGGATATAAGAGGAATTTTCAACTTCGTAACAGACCTCGCCGCGCCTCGCCGCGCCTCGCCACCCTGGAGTCTCTGTGGCTCAGTGGTAGAGCATCGGAGCGCGGAATCCGAAGGTCTGAGGTTCAATTCCTCGTGAAGACTCAGAATTTTTTCTTTGTCCCACACTCGTGACAAGACGAAAAAAACATCATTCTTGATATAAGAGGACTTTCAAGAAGCTGGCCCTCACCATTAGCAATGCGGGATACGCATTTCTTCGCCCGCGGGAAGATTTGAGACAGTTGAGGAAAGATTTGCCGAGATTTGTCTGGCACTTATGCTATCAGTGCTACGCCCCTTACAGACCTCGCACCGGCTCTCGTCGCTCCACGCCTCCAACATTCCCGTGGGCAAAGAATCGCACGTGCCAAAGCGCTTATATTGAGGGCCTGGAGCTGAGCTCTATGTTAACTTGAAGTTGATGTGCGAAACCTGTCAATGAGCTTAGAAAACAGAAGAAAAACTTCCACCAAACTATTTATAGTGACTGCCTTCTTCCTCAAGCAAAACATGTTCAAGTTTTTTTTCACTGCTCTCTTACATCAAAAGTTGAATAAGACCTAAAAGAATATGGCCAATCAGAGTTAGTGGAGTCCCTGTGCTAACTCTGATGGAAGTTATGGAATTTTTTGTTGTTTATGTCCAGAGGAGTATTATATTAAAAATAGCTTTGTTCAATGATAAGTTTTAAGAAAAGAATAAACTGGTCATCTCATTTACAGCTCTTTTAACGCATCCTGTCTAATCAGGTGTAATCATGTGAGTTTGGTGGTTTAGTTGAAAAAAAAATTGATGTCTGAGTTTCCACCAGCTCAGCACAAAAGGGCCACAGGCCAAAAGAAACGGTAAGCCTGGGGACAAGAATGACTGCGAAAGTGACAGAAAGAAGCATAAGATCACGTTCTATTGGCATTTTCCGTGAGTGACAGCTGACATGTGTTAGGAAAAAACTGAACAGAGTAGCGGAGGTGGTTAACTGTATTTTTTATGGCGAGGCATTGAAGTCTACAGGTTTTGGTAAGTACTGGTTGTATTCAAAAAATGATACAGTTTAACTTATTTGCCACTGTCAGTGCCTTTACGTAGCTTACATACATCATTTTTGTTTGGAGCGTCAGTGTTCTATCATGCTATATTCAATGTTATGATCTATGTCTTCGATAAAAACTGAGAGTTAATTTCTATCATATAGAAATACAATCACAAATAGCGAGGTCGAATTGAAAAATTATAAATACCATTTGGAATATTGAAATTTTTTGCGATTGGCTGAATCGCATATCACCAGCACTGGTAAATTGATTTCTGTAGCAACTATTTGGATCCGACCTCTTCAAAGTTTTTGTCACACATCGTACTGTCGAGCTAATCTTGCACAGGAAGGAATAGAGTATTGAGGAAGCAAAAATGAAATTTATATATTTTTTCGTTCTCCAGAAGATAGGGGAAGATGTTCCCTCTTTTGTTCATGTATTTCGGTTTTTTATAACTAACTTATATAACTAATGATGGATTTGAGCATGCAACAATAAAACAATTTATTCTGTTTTACAGGGAACGTCAGCCTTTGGTGTTCATTTATTTTGACCGCTTGGATTTTCATTACAAGATTGATCAAAGTACAACTGATCCTTCTGCTTTCAAAAGGTGAGCCATCTCCGCGATTTTCCACGCTTTTCGTTTTCTATTGAGTGTGATTTTCATAATCAAGATACTAAGTAAGTTCCTAAATCAAGAAAACGGATGAACTTCATCCTGCGAGTTTCTCTACGATTATCACTTCACTAAGAGATACCTTTTTAAGTGTTAATCAAGATAAGACTTCGATGAAGTAACGAGTGGGTGACATTAGAGTTAGGATCTACATAGATCGGCACTCTAAAATGTACAACAACTGATAACATTCTGGGGAGAGGAGGAAGGGGAAGTGAACCTGGACCAACTTATGTAGCAGGATCCTTGAACCTAATCTCCTAAAAGTCGCATCAGTCACCCCTGCTACTCTCACAATTTTATTTCTGCTTCGCTTTGACTATGAAACCAGCAATTTGAGAGCACTCAATGGGTATTCAAAAAAGAGATACAGTTCAACTTATTTCCCACTGTTAGTGCCTTTACATAGCTTACACAAATCATTTTTGTTTAGAGTGTCAGTGTTCTATTATGCTGTATTCAATGTACTGATCTATGAGAGGTAAAACTGACAGGTAATGTCTATCAAATAGAAAGACAATCACAAATACCGAGGTCGAATTAAAAATTTGAAATACCATTTTGGATATTGAAATTTTCTGCGAACGACTGAATCGCATATCACCAGCGCTGGTGAAATTGATTTCTGTCGAGATATATTCTGTTCTGACCTCGTCAAAGTTTTTGTCACACGTAGTACTGTCGAGCTAATCTTGAGAAGGACGGAATAGAGTATTAAGGACGGATAAATGAAATTCGTATATTTTTTCGTTCTCCAGAATGAAGATAGTGGATGATGTTCCCTCTGTATTTCGGTTTTTTATAACTAACTTATATAACTAATGATGGATTTGAGCATGCAAAAGTGAAACAATTTATTCTGTTTTACAGGGAACGTCAGCCTTTAGTGTTCATTTGTTTTGACCGCTTGAATTTTCATTACAAGATTGATCAAAGTACAAGTGAACTATCAGCCTCAGAAAGGTAAGCCATCTCCGCGTTGTTCCACTGTTCAAGACTTTTTATTTTCTAGTGGGTGTGATTTGCATGATCAAGATACTGAATAATTTACTAGATAAGGAAAACGGATGAAGTTAAGCGTGCGCGCAAGTTTCTCTAAGATGATCACTTTACTAAGAGTTACCCTTTTAAGTGTTAATCTGGATAAGACTTAGATAAAGTAACGAGTAGGTGACATTAGAGTTAGGATCTACATAGATCGACACTCTCTAAAAAATATACAACAATTGATAACATTTTGGGGAGGGGAGGGAGGGGGCATGAACCTGGACCATACTTATGAAGCGGGATCCTTGAAGCTAATCTCCTGAAAAGTCTCATCAGTCATCCCTGCTACTCTCGCATTTTTATTTCCGCTTCGCTTTGGCTATGAAACTAGCAAATTGAGAACACCACAATGCGCCATGAAAGCGATGCTGATGATAATTTGATGTATAGAAAACCTAAAAACTTGGGCCAACTTCGAGCAGGATTTTCATGTCAGAAAAATGTAAGTCGAATCATGAATAAATTTATCTACTTTTTTCCTAATTCATAAGTGGAAAATACAGAAAGACGCTGAGCAATTTACTCCGAATATTAATTGTTCCCCTTAAATTACTTGTGTTTCGGTTTTGAATTTTATAAGCAATGATGCATTTGAGCATGCAAAAAGGAAAAAAATTGTACTTGTTCAGTACAAGGATCGTCAGCCCTTACGTGTTCATTGCTCTTAAACGGTTGGATTTTCATCACGAGATCGATCACAGTTCAGTTAAATGGGGTATTTTCCAGTGTTTGGGTTTGAGGATCGACTCTTTACTGGTGAACTTTTCATTTTCTAATGAGTGTGATTTACATCATTAATAACAAAGACATTATATAATTTACTATACAAGCTAAACAGATGAAGTTATTAGTGTGAGTTTCTGCCAAGACGATTATTTTAGTAAATATTACCCTCGAAAGTTTTCATCTTGGTGGAAGGAAAAGAAAAGTTCAGTAGGTTATTCTGAGCTTCAAGTGCTTCGGTTTAGGTATTTGTATTTCGGTTTTGTTAGTTGAACTTAGATAAACATTGATGGATATGAGCATGCAAATGAAAATTTTTACTTTGTTTTACAGGAAACGTCAGCCCCTAGTGTTCATTGCGTTTTAACGGTTGGATGTTCATCACAAGATCGATCACAGCACTATTGAAGTTTCTGTCTTTAAACGATAGGGTATATATAAGTTATGACTGACTGAATGTTTTACAATCATAAAATGTGGGGCAGGAAATGCAACTGATTGACCCCTTGGACCCTCCCCCTCCCCCAGTATCTACCGCTTGTAGTTCCAGTTTGTGGTAATTTGAAGGAAAATGAAAACTGTGAACAAGAGTATGTGACAAAGGTTTTTCATTTTTCCGGGGATAAATTTCATTCAGGTGCCCTCGCTTGAATCAAAATGAACACGGAACATGTCTAACTTCAAACAATAAGTTCAATGATTTGTGTGACATCGTAATGAGCATCTCAATGATGTGCGTGACAGTGTTATGAATACCTCAGTGGAACAAACGGTAATAAATTTTCTTGGTGTGTTTCTTTGTACAACACACACACAAAAACACAAAATTGGATTTATTACATAAGTACACGAGGATTCCTGACGAAAAGAAACGAAAAGAGTCGAAGAAGAATCCAATTAGATCTGTAACTACACATCGAGTGATTTAACAAAATTTGACAAATACCGAAGTGGAAACTAAACAGGTTAGGATAAGGAACCCTATGTACCAAATGTTATAGGCTATATATGGAGTAACAAAAAAAACTTGGTTTCAACCATTTAAATTCAGTTACCCCTACTTCATTCCAGCAAAACGTTCTAACACGAATGGCGCAATCATTAAAAAAAAACAGATTTTTGTGAGATGAAGCAGGAAGTGCAATCACACTCATACTGGTTCCAGTCTCGTAAACGCTTCATTTCAATACAGGGTAGGACCTCCGTCGAGATGAGAAAACCAAGATTCCTGAAAAAGTTCGCACCCATGAACCCTTGTACAGGAACTTTCGAGTGTCATATGCCTGATCTACATTTTTTTTCCAAACTTACAGTGATCAAGGCGATATGAAAAACACGGAAGAGGAATTCACCACGTTAGCTATCAAAATAGGTATAACTGTCGCCATTTTCCTTCTCAACAATGGTTTGGCCTTGAAAGCCATCGAGCTGTGCCAAGAAAGCTTGATTTTACTGAACAATGGTGATTTAACCGCGGACAGTCCAGTTGCCAAGTCATTTGACGAACGCATCCGCACCACAGTGAAAAGGGCGTGGCTCACTCTATGCAATTCACCAGGTATTAAAGAATACCTCAGGGAACTTTTACTTCACCCTGAAGAGGAAAAGAAATTTTATGAATCAGCAATAAATGTCATGAAAATGACCGAAAACAGACAAAAAGAAGCGGAATATTATAGAAGACTAGGAGTGCTTCTGTGTTTCTTAGGAGAATATAACAAAGGGAAAGAATATTTGGAGATAGCACTCGCTATCCAGATAAAAATTGGCGACAGACGTGGAGAGGCAACAAGCTACACAGACATTGGAATACTGTTCATGTCGCTTGGCAAATATGACAAGGCCCCCGAATACCTGGAGAAAGCTCTCGCTATCCAAATAGAAGTTGGCGACAGACATGGAGAGGCAACAAGCTACACGAATCTTGGAGCACTGTTCATATCGCTTAGCAATTACGACAAGGCCCGCGAATACCTGGAGAAAGCTCTCGCTATCCAAATAGAAATTGGCGACAGAAATGGAGAGGCAACAAGCTACCAGAGCCTCGGAAGAGTGTTCCTGTCGCTTTGCAAATACGAAAAATCCCGAGAATACTTGGAGAAAGCTCTCGCTATCCAAATAGAAATTAGCGACAGAAATGGAGAGTCAACAAGCTGCGCGAACCTCGGAGCACTGTTCACATCGCTTGGCAAATTAGACAAGGCCCAAGAATACCTGGAGAAAGCTCTCGCTATTCCAATAGAAATTGGCGACAGACATGGAGAGGCAGCAATCTATGGGAACCTCGAAACAGTATTCGGGTTGCTTGGCAAATACGACAAGGCTCAGGAATACCTGGAGAAAGCTCTCGCTATCCAAATAGAAATTGGCAACAGACATGGAGAGGCAACAAGCTACCAGAGCCTCGGAACAGTGTTCATATCGCTTGGCAAATGCGACAAGGCCCAAGAATACCTGGAGAAAGCTCTCGCTATCAAAATAGAAATCGGCAACAGAAATGGAGAGGCAACAAGCTACCAGAGCCTCGGAACAGTGTTCCAGTCGCTTGGCAAATACGACAAGGCCCGAGAATACCTGGAGAAAGCTCTTGCTATCCAAATAGAAATTGGCGACAGAAATGGAGAGGCAACAAGCTACCATAGCCTTGGAACAGTGTTCCAGTCACTTGGCAAATACGACAAGGCCCGAGAATACTTGGAGAAAGCTCTTGCTATCCAAATAGAAATTGGCAACAGAAATGGAGAGGCAACAAGCTACCATAGCCTCGGAACAGTGTTCCAGTCACTTGGAAAATTCGCCAAGGCCCGAGAATACTTAGCGAAAGCTCTTGCTATCCAAATAGAAATTGGCGACAGATATGGGGAGGCAGCAAACTACTCCAACCTTGGACAACTGTTCATATCGCTTAGCAAATACGGCAAGGCCCGAGAATACTTGAAGAAAGCTCTCGCTATCCAAATAGACATTGGCGACAGAACTGGAGAGGCCACAAGCTACGTGAACCTCGGAGCACTGTTCATATCGCTTAGCAAATACGACAAGGCCCGAGAATACTTGAAGAAAGCTCTCGCTATCCAAATAGACATTGGCGACAGAAATGGAAAGGCAACAAGCTACCAGAGCCTCGGAACAGTGTTTCAGTCGCTTGGCAAATACGACAAGGCCCGAAAATACTTGGAGAAAGCTCTCGCTATCCAAATAGAAGTTGGCGACAGACATGGAGAGGCAACAAGCTACTCGAACCTCGGAGCACTGTTCGTATCGCTTAGCAAATACGACAAGGCACGAGAATACCTGGAGAAAGCTCTCGCTATCCAAATAGACATTGGCGACAGAAATGGAGAGGCCACAAGCTACGTGAACCTCGGAACAGTGTTTCGGTCGCTTGGCAAATACGACAAGGCCCGAGAATACTTGAAGAAAGCTCTCGCTATCCAAATAGACATTGGCGACAGAAACGGAGAGGCCACAAGCTACGTGAACCTCGGAGCACTGTTCGTATCGCTTAGCAAATACGACAAGGCCCGAGAATACTTGAAGAAAGCTCTCGCTATCCAAATAGATATTGGCGACAGAAATGGAGAGGCCACAAGCTACGTGAACCTCGGAACAGTGTTTCGGTCGCTTGGTAAATACGACAAGGCCCGAGAATACTTGGAGAAAGCTCTCGCTATCCAAATAGAAATTGGCAACAGAAATGGAGAGGCAAAAGGCTACAATAACCTCGGAACACTGTTCATATCGCTTTACAAATACGACAAGGCCCGAGAATACTTGGAGAAGGCTCTGGCTATCCAAATAGACATTGGCAACAGAATTGGAGAGGCAGCAAGCTGCGGGAACCTCGGAACACTGTTCAAATCGCTTGGGAAATATTACAAGGCTCAAGAATACCTGGAGAAAGCTCTTGCTATCAAAATAGAAATTGGCGACAGAAATGGAGAGGCAACCAGCTACCAGAACCTCGGAACAGTGTTCCAGTCGCTTGGCAAATACGACAAGGCCCGAGAATACCTGGAGAAAGCTCTCGCTATCCAAATAGAAGTTGGCGACAGATATGGAGAGGCAACAAGCTACTCGAAACCCGGAGCACTGTTCGTATCGCTTAGCAAATACGACAAGGCCCAAGAATACCTGGAGAAAGCTCTCGCTATCCAAATAGACATTGGCGACAGAAATGGAGAGGCCACAAGCTACGTGAACCTCGGAACAGTGTTTCGGTTGCTTGGCAAATACGACAAGGCCCGAGAATGCTTGAAGAAAGCTCTCACTATCCAAATAGACATTGGCGACAGAAATGGAGAGGCCACAAGCTACGTGAACCTCGGAGCACTGTTCGTATCGCTTAGCAAATACGACAAGGCCCGAGAATACTTGAAGAAAGCTCTCGCTATCCAAATAGACATTGGCGACAGAAATGGAGAGGCCACAAGCTACGTGAACCTCGGAGCACTGTTCGTATCGCTTAGCAAATACGACAAGGCCCGAGAATACTTGAAGAAAGCTCTCGCTATCCAAATAGATATTGGCGACAGAAATGGAGAGGTAACAAGCTACCAGAACCTCGGAACAGTGTTTCAATCGCTTGGCAAATACGACAAGGCCCGAGAATACTTGGAGAAAGCTCTCGCTATCCAAATAGAAGTTGGCGACAGACATGGAGAGGCAACAAGCTACTCGAACCTCGGAGCACTGTTCGTATCGCTTAGCAAATACGACAAGGCCCGAGAATACCTGGAGAAAGCTCTCGCTATCCAAATAGACATTGGCGACAGAAATGGAGAGGCCACAAGCTACGTGAACCTCGGAACAGTGTTTCGGTCGCTTGGCAAATACGACAAGGCACGAGAATACTTGAAGAAAGCTCTCGCTATCCAAATAGACATTGGCGACAGAAATGGAGAGGCCACAAGCTACGTGAACCTCGGAGCACTGTTCGTAACGCTTAGCAAATACGACAAGGCCCGAGAATTCTTGAAGAAAGCTCTCGCTATCCAAATAGACATTGGCGACAGAAATAGAGAGGCCACAAGCTACGTGAACTTCGGAACAGTGTTTCGGTCGCTTGGCAAATACGACAAGGCCCGAGAATACTTGGAGAAAGCTCTCGCTATCCAAATAGAAATTAGCAACAGAAATGGAGAGGCAACAAGCTACAATAACCTCGGAGCACTGTTCATATCGCTTTACAAATACGATAAGGCCCGAGAATACTTGGAGAATGCTCTGGCTATCCAAATAGAAATTGGCGACAGAATTGGAGAGGCAGCAAGCTGCGGGAACCTCGGAACACTGTTCAAATCGCTTGGGAAATATTACAAGGCTCAAGAATACCTGGAGAAAGCTCTTGCTATCAAAATAGAAATTGGCGACAGAAATGGAGAGGCAACAATCTACAGGAACCTAGGAACACTGTTCAGATCGCTTGGCGAAAATGGCAAGGCTCAAGAATACCTGGAGAAAGCTCTCGCTATCAAAATAGAAATTGGCGACAGAAATGGAGAGGCAACCAGTTACGGGAACCTCGGAGCGCTGTTTAGATTGCTAGGCGAATTTGGCAAGGCCCGAGAATATCTGGAGAAAGCTCTCGCTATCCAAATAGAAATTGGCGACAGAAATGAAGAGGCAACAAGCTACAGAACACTTGGAACAGTGTTCCTATCGATCGGCAAATATGGCAAGGCCCATGAGTACCTGGAGAAAGCTCTCGCTATCCAAATAGAAATTGGCGACAGAAATGAAGAGGCAATAACCTACGGGAACCTCGGAGCACTGTTCGTATCGCTTGGAAAATATGACGAGGCCCGAGAATATCTGGAGAAAGCTCTGGCTATCCAAATAGAAATTGGCGACAGAATTGGAGAGGCAGCAAGCTGCGGGAACCTCGGAACACTGTTCAAATCGCTTGGGAAATATTACAAGGCTCAAGAATACCTGGAGAAAGCTCTTGCTATCAAAATAGAAATTGGCGACAGAAATGGAGAAGCAACAATCTTCAGGAACCTAGGAGAGCTGTTTGGATTGCTTGGCGAATATGGCAAGGCCCATGAATATCTGGAGAAAGCTCTCGCTATCCAAATAGAAATTGGCGACAGAAATGAAGAGGCAACAAGCTACGGAACACTTGGAACAGTGTTCCTATCGATCGACAAATATGGCAAGGCCCATGAGTACCTGGAGAAAGCTCTCGCCATCCAAATAGAAATTGGCGACAGAAATGAAGAGGCAATAACCTACGGGAACCTCGGAGTACTGTTCGTATCGCTTGGAAAATATGACGAGGCCCGAGAATATCTGGAGAAAGCTCTGGCTATCCAAATAGACATTGGCGACAGAATTGGAGAGGCAGCAAGCTGCGGGAACCTCGGAACACTGTTCAAATCGCTTGGGAAATATTACAAGGCTCAAGAATACCTGGAGAAAGCTCTTGCTATCAAAATAGAAATTGGCGACAGAAATGGAGAAGCAACAATCTTCAGGAACCTAGGAGAGCTGTTTAGATTGCTTGGCGAATTTGGCAAGGCTCAAGAATATCTGGAGAAAGCTCTCGCTATCCAAATAGAAGTTGGCGACAGAAATGGAGAGGCAACCAGCTACGGAAAACTTGGAACACTGTTCCAATCCATCGGCAAACATGACGGGGCCCATGAGTACCTGGAGAAAGCACTTGCGATCAAAATAGAAATTGGCGACAGAGATGGAGAGGCAACAGGCTACGGGAACCTCGGAGCGCTGTTTAGATTGCTTGGCGAATATGGCAAGGCCCAAGAATATCTGGAGAAAGCTCTCGCTATCCAAATAGAAATTGGTGACAGAAATGGAGAGGCAACCAGCTACGGAACACTTGGAACAGTGTTCCTATCGATCGGCAAATATGGCAAGGCCCATGAGTACCTGGAAAAAGCTCTCGTTATCCAAACAGAAATTGGAGACAGAAATGGAGAGGCAACAAGTTGCGGGCACCTTGGAATAGTGTTCGAATTGCTCGGCAAATATGATGGGGCCCGAAAATACCTAGAGAAAGCACTTACTATGAAAATAGAAATTGGTGACAGAGAAGGAGAAGCAACAAACTACGGGAACCTCGGAAGACTGTTTCAATTGCTTGGCGAACATGACAAGGCCCGAGAATACCTAGAGAAAGCCCTACGTATTTACAGGGGAATTGGCGGAAGAAAAGGAGAGGCAGACACTTACGGAAACCTTACATCATTTTTTCTGTCCCTCGGTCAATATCGAAAGGCTGAAGATTTTCTAGAGAGAGCAGTGGCAATTTGGAGGGAAATCGGTGACAGAGGTGGACAAGCAATACATTTCGGAAACCTTGGGAGGATTTCTTGTAAGCGTGGTGAGTACGACAATGCTCTAGAATATCACAAGAAAGCCCTTGAAATTCATATGGAAAATGGTACGAAGGAAGGTGTTGTTGTCGGTTACGCACATATAGCATCGTGTTTCCAATCGCTCGGTAAATATGACATGGCCGAGGAATACCTCAAGAGAGCTCTCTCATTAAGCAGGGATGTTGGAAACAGCTCGCGTGAGTTTCAATGCCTTCTTGATCTAACGGTGTTGAAGGTATCACAAAATGATCTTGAAGAAGCCTTTTCGTGTCTTTTCCAAACCATTCAAATTTTCGACACGTTGCGAGAATCTCTAAAAGAAAATGATCAGTTTAAAACATCACTTTTAGAGGAGCACGGTACCTTTCCATACAAGTTGCTCAGTAGCTTACTTTCTTCCAAGGCAAAGCCACACCACGCCCTCTATGTCGAGGAGTTGAGACGGGCGAGGGGCTTGGCCGACTTGATGGGGGCTCGCTACTCTGTTGTAAAGCAGATCTCAGGCGATCCAAAATCATGGTATGGGATTCAAAACATTGTCGCAAAGGAAGCTGACTGCGCATGCCTCTACATTTCTGTTGGAGAAAAGCATATGCACTATTGGATTCTCAAAGCAACAGGGGCTATCATTTTTAAAGATGAAGAAGTGAGCCTGGACAAAAATGTGGTGACCGGATTAGTCCCTAACTTGGATGAGTTTTTTACGAAAAGCTTTCGTGGCCATGGCATTTTACCCGAACAGAATTGCGAAGATCGATCTCTAGATGACACTGAATCGATGTCACTTTACCATGAAAATCACGCGCTCCTGCGCGATTGTGATGACAAAGGTATCAAGACAAATCTTCAATTGTGTCACAAGATAATCATCGCTCCTGTGGCCGCTTTACTGAAGGAGCCCGAAATAATCATTGTCCCTGATTCCTGTATGTATCAGGTACCATTTGCGGCTTTAACTGACGATGAAGGAAACTTTGTATCGGAGACATTCAGGTTACGCATCGTTCCCTCTTTGACAACTCTCAAACTTATTCAGGAAAGTCCCCCATACTATCACAGTCACACAGGTGCATTGATAGTCGGTGACCCTCAGGTTGGAGAGGTGATTTACAAGGGAAGACGCATGAATATAACAGGATTGCCATGTGCAAGAAAGGAAGCAGAGATGATTGGAAGACTTCTTGGTGTGACACCTTTGATTGGAGATCGCGCGACAAAGCAAGCTGTACTTCAAGCAATACATTCCGTGAGTCTGATCCATTTAGCTGCCCATGGTAATGCTGAAAGAGGAGAGATTGTCCTTTCCCCAGAGTGTCCCGCTGACTATGTTCCACGAGAAGGAGCCTTCCTCTTGACGATGGCAGACATTTCACGAATTAAGCTTCGAGCTAAACTGGTGGTACTAAGCTGTTGTCACAGTGCACGTGGACAGATTAAGGCCGAGGGAGTTATTGGAATCGCTCGAGCATTCTTAGGATCTGGTGCTCGCTCAGTGTTAGCGGCACGGTGGGCCTTAGATGACACAGCCACAGAGAAGTTCATGACTTGTTTCTACGAGCACTTGTTCCGTGGTGAAAGCGCCAGTGAATCTCTTCACGAGGCCAGGAAATGGATGAGAAACAATGGCTTTGTAGAAGTCTCTAAGTGGGCGTCTTTTATGCTGATTGGCGACAACGTGACATTTGATTTTGAAAATTGGCCTGTGTCTATTACAACCAAATAGCCACGAGTCAAGTAAATCCGCGCTAACGGAATGTGCTGGACTGAGCAAAGCCAGAAATTGTTACTTGCCACCGTATAGAGAGGGGAAACCATCTGCGAGAGACGTCTGCGAGCTAAATTTCAAGCACTCGGCTATTGTCAAAGTAAAACATTCTTGTAAAGAGCGCGCCAGAGACAGAACAATTCATAAAGTAGAGATGATTAACATGTTAGCAGTTAACAAACACCAAGAGCATTCTTTTCTCGAAAGGGAATGACTAATTAATCAAGCCAAGCATAACTAATTGTTTTCGAAAGCGATTAATATATTAAGCAAAGCAAATTTTAAGTAATATACTTCCGATAGTGATACATCGGAAATATGCATGGAAAATATGAAATTGTTTTTTTATAGGAGGCTCTGTATCATATCAAATGCGCAGAGTTTTTTTTTCAAGGTTAAGCAGTATACTCGAACTTTATTGTAATGATTCTGTCAGGAAATCATAGGTAATCTCAAGCATGATGATAAATCATTTTCTCCAGTAGGGTAAGATGTTCAAAGGTTTTCAAAATTTTTTTTTTTGGTTTCATTGGCTTAGTTTTTCGCGAGGAACTAAAAGTCGTCATATCTCAAGTACTTTTATATAGTGATCTTCATGCCCTATATATATATATATATATATATATATATCGACTTTGGGGTAACGCTAATTTTTTTCTTCATTAAATTAATTCCTCGAGAAATTAGCATTTTCTTATTTTTATTAACGATAAAGATTTTAATAGCTGGTCACACGAGCAGTCTACAATTGTCTAATTTAGGATTCTAGATTGATTTTGATGATGGCCCTCAAGTTAAAAATACCTCTTCGAATATTTAAAGGGTGGGCCACTTATCTCTTAATTTTGTAGAAAAAAACATAGATCAGGAATTAACAAGTTTAGTCCGAGCACAGTTACCAGTAATATTTTCGTGCAAAAATTTCTACCGGACTTCGTTAGATTTTAGGTATTGTACCTAGTTTTGTAAAAAATTGTTGCCTAAACCATTTATGTTACTACAATCGTTGAGATGTTCAAATCAACAGTGTTGTGAATAAAAAGCAGTTATTCTTGATCATTACGACATACTGAATGAAGGGCAGATGCTTTTTTCTTCAAACAAATAAACACTTCGATTCTCATAGCCGGCAGTCCATCTCTGATTGTTGGATTTTGATATGTTGGACTTGCTTAAACAGAACTAGTAAAATACACCTTCAAATTATGGCTGTCTTTGCGGGCGAAAAAAGATTTGGCGAATCCTGCGTTGTGATCGGCCACCAGAGCATACTAGTCGCCAGATCACCAACCAACCAACGTGAATCTTCATGAGGAATTAATCTAAACTGCTGCTCACTTGTTCTATTTCATGGCAGGTGAAGGCAAGAAGCTTTCAAGTTAGGCTTAAAGACATGGAACATGAAATGAAGTTCTCTCAAAAGAGAACTGAAAGCTGAGTGATGTGAAATGATATAATTTATATGGTTTCAGGCCAAGGGACCGGTCAACATTTATGCCTGGGGGGGGGGGGGGGGGACGGGAGGCGTTAAATAACGAGTGTTTCCTCAGCGCAAGGTTTGTTTTTAAAAATGATTCTATAAATAAGTTTCACGCAAAAAAGTTTCAAAATATAATTTGGTAATTGCAACATTTATTATTTGTCTGAATCTGTGCCACCTCCTCTCCACCGTAAGAAGAGTGAAAAAAGCTCATACCCTGCGTCATACATCATGCAATCGTGACTCAGTACCACTCAAAAATAACAAAATGATTTTAAAACAGTGGATCCTTCACGAAAAATGTCCGAGCTGTGAAGTATCCTAACCGTTAGTGTAACTTGCCGTCTAAAGATACCCAAAACCTTTATTGATGCAGCAAACCTGGACTGAACTTGGATAAACACATGCAGCTTAACACTTTAACCCACGAGGAGTGACAGGCATCTAATTTCTCTTTATAGTATCATCCATAAAATGAAACGTAAAGGTCAAAAGAAAAACGGAAATGATCACCAACTGACGAGGCGCTCGATGGTTACGAAACAAATTCTTTATGTCAGCGTCTTGAGACATGTATGGAGAACAGTATGGAGAGTCTGCATGATGATGTTGGGGTGTACAGGGTTACGAAACACAACCTCTCCTTCGCAGCTGTCGTTTATCTCGTCACGCAACGCGCTCTCCCGCATTGCGTGAAAAGACCGCATATCAGAGTAACTGTTGCATGAAATGCTTCAATATTGCAACATAACTCTAATATGAGATGTAAAATTGAAGTGACCTTCAGAGTCTCATCACCAAAGCCAAATCATTTCTGACAGAACGTATAACAATTCATGCCCAACAAGAAATGCTAAATTACATGTTTATTGCCAGAAGGATCCACCATTCAAAGACACAGTTACCTTAAAATCACTATTTACATCATATATATTTTTGGCTATTACTTTTAACGTGATATGTATTTATTTCTTTACAAAACATTTTATTAATACTGTATCTACATATCTTCATTCTAAGGTATGTTTTAAGCAAGCGGCTCAACTTTGGCTCCGAAACAACGTTTTTCCACAACACTTTACTGCATTAAAATTAACCAACCACTATTAACAACTGTGTTATGAGATTAAGTTATAAAGAGAAGCCATACATTATGCAATACGCTAAAGGAAAATGCGCTCGTTTTGTTATACTTTTGAGACGTTCTATTACTAACATCCCGTCAAAAAAAAACTAATTACACTGTACAAATCTGAACGTGAACCAAAAGAACAAATTTGAAAACTACAATTCTAGTACTTCTAAATAACAAACAATGTATAGAAAACTTGCAGTTCTGAGAGAGGCCACAGACGAGCAAGATTTAAAATCAAACTGTACTATAACTTCAAAGAATGCACCACATCTGATGGTACCTCAAATATTTTAAATTCGTCACCATACACAGATTAACATTTGCAGTAGCTTTCTACTGCTAATTCGCAAATATGATCCAATCCCAGCATCTCCATAAACAATGTTGCAAAACAAACTGTTTTGAAAATTTTACTGTGTTAAATGTACAAAATAGCCTGTAACAGAATTTTCTAACAATATGTCTCAGAATATGGCTTGGAAAACATAATTTACATTTTCCAAAACCATAAACACTGAGCTTATTTGCAAAAAATTTTATGTTGCCCTTCAATTGTCCAAATCTGGTAGGGGGACTTGCGCTACTCTTTTTGAAAAACATTCAACACCCACCAAAGTTAAGATTGGTGAGCAAATATGATGTTTTAAAAAAAGTTAATATTGGAGTTTTTTTGGAAACTTAGTAGAAAAATACTCCCTTTTTACTAAGTAAATAACAATTTATAGTTATTTAATTTTGTAGGTTAGCTAATTAATAATATAAGCTCTTTAGGGTCTGAAGGCAATAAGTTTGATGACATGCTGTGGACAAAGTTAAAACTTGTTTTGATACTATTAACCCAAATATGATTTACCAAACAACAAACAGAGTTTTCTAATGAATGGCCTGATGAAGCAAACAAGGGGTAAAACTTTATGATACCTACTCAAATGTTGATTTTCAACAAACAAGATGAACAAAGCATAACTAGAATATAAAACATGTCCCTGAAAAATTGGAAATGGAACAATGGATACTATATTTACAAAATGACTTACATGTGAACTTTGAAACCAAACAACGAATGCCACCAATCATAGTTATACTGCAACAATAAAATGTAACTAGGGAAACTTAACAATGTTACCAGACAGCACAAGAGAAAAAAAAAGGCATAGAATTTTATGGCAGCAAAACAATGGTAAATCACTATAAAAAATACAGCATGTTAATTTGAAGAACAGCTTTACAATCAAAAATTGTGATCTATCTCCAGAAGATTACGCTCCTGTGCACAGGGGCTTCCTTCAGAAACAAAAACTTCCCAATGAAATATGAGTTTTCATTTTACCATATGACTTAACAATTGACATTTGAAACACAACATTGGAAAAGAAAAGTGCTACAAGCAACACTGAAAAAATCCTACAAAAATACTGACCCATAACCTACAATTTTGTAAAATGGAAGTCTTCCCACATGTCTGTGTTTTCAAAAGCAAAACTTCGCCTTCAATTTCATTAAATAGTGGCTTAATATTTTTAAACAACTGACCCACCCAAACAGCCACCTTTAATGTAACAACCAAAGAATCTTTTAACTGCCACGCTTCAAACATACCTGAAATAAGGCTACTTGAATTTTAAATGGCTATAATTTGATAAACCTATACAATGTACAAAAATTTATTTTTCCTATGATACAGCCACAAGTACAAAAATTATATATTTAAGTGGTAATAATAAGCCCAGAAAAGCAAGAAATTTCCCTTCATCAACAGTCAGACTCTGGTAGATATTCAAACTTGAGTCCATTTCGCACCAGCCTTGTGGAGTAGTGTTCCAGTCGCTTTAATAACAGACTAAATGTTGGTCTTGCTTTTGGACTGGATTCCCAGCAGTTTTTCATTTAGAAATATCTGCAAAAAGACACAGTGAAGGTCAAAACAATGCCATAACCCTTTAACTACCAAGATCTCATTGTTAATTTCCCCCCTCCAGCTGTTACACATTTTGTTGTAACTTAGTTATGAGAATTTGGTGTTTGATCAAACTTCCAATCTGATAAGTTTGAGTATTCTCAGTACCTGATTGCTGGATAATTTATGGATTTTATGAGAAGTTACATGTTCAACACTTCGAGGAGTTAAAGGATTAACCTTTGAATGCTCAGACCTGTTTCACAGAAGGATTCTCCTTTCAACACCAATACATAATTTAGCAAACTGGTTACAAAACTTAAAAAATTATCAGCTGGGTGTGTCACCTGGATATTAAAATTAGCCCCCCCATCTAAATGTACCTAACAAGGAAATGCATGGAAACTCAATAAGCTGGCATGAGGTAATTGTCTGGGGATTAAAGA